AAAAGACAAGTACATTTTACCTGATTTGTGGTAACTAATATACAGAATACAAAAAGTGTGATGTATGTGTGTGAAATTGACATTTTGAAATTTGATTATTGCTTATAGCTTTTATCTATGCTCCTGAGGAACAATGGCTTTTCTTATTACTTTTTGAATTCTGTATTTAGTAAAAGGTTAAGCTCATCAATTGAAAAAATTAATAAAGTCAACTGAAAATATGTCATAAAAGTTAGAACATAGGAAAAAGAGGAGGAGGGAGGGTAGGAGTGTGGGAGTAAAGATAGGGTGGCAAGTACCATTACTTTTTTTTTTTTTTTTTGACAGGCAGAGTTAGTGAGAGAGAGAGAGAAAGAGAGAGAGAAAGGTCTTCCTTTTTCCGTTGGTTCACCTCCCAAGTGTCCCCCACGGCCGGGGCACTGTGCTGATCCGAAGCCAGGAGCCAGGTGCTTCCTCCTGGTCTCCCATGTGGATGCAGGGCCCAAGGACCTGGGCCATCCTCCACTGCCCTCCCGGGGCCACAGCAGAGAGCTGAATTGGAAGAGGAGCAACAGGGACAGAACCGGCACCCCAACTGGGACTAGAACCTGGTGTGCCAGCGCCGCAGGCAGAGGATTAGCCTAGTGAGCTGAAGCACCAGCCAATCATTACGTTCTTAAAACTGTGTGAAATACAAAAGGCTTCCATAGCCTGGCAACTCATGGCCAGAGCCTGGGGTGATCACTGAAGTCATAAATAAGAGTGCTAATTGGTAAATTAACAACCGAATTCATTGTGCACTTACCCCCCACGCAGGACCTCTGTCTTTAATGAGTTGTACTATGAGAATTAACTGCAAAACTTGTTCACAAACAGTACTTTAAACATGGTGTGTGAATGTGAGTACAAACTGTTCAAATCTTTACTTAGTATAGAGTTGGTCTTCTGTATGTAAAGTTAAAGTGAAAAATGAAACTTAAAGAAGAATTGGATGGGAGAGGGAGTAGAAGGTGGGGCAGGAGTGGGGTTGGGAGGGTGAGTATGGGAGAAAGAACCATTATATTTCTAAAGTTGTACCTATGAAATTTGCATTAATTAAATAAAAGCTTTAAAAAAAACTGTGTGAAATAAATAAAATATGTTCTCTATATGTACATTTTTAAAATTAAAAATATAGAATAAATATAAAATTCCAGCATTTGAAATCAAGCAAACTTAACTCTTTAAGTTAATAGAAAACCAAAACCAAAGATGAAATTGTCTAGAATGACACTGTGGGATGTTTCAAAACCATCATTAAATTGAATCTTATCAATGCAGAAATAGCAAAAGAAATTCAACTTGAGTAGGTGACAGAGTACACTATGCATACATAGTTCTGAAAAACAATGCCATTAAAATGGCCAGAAAGTCAACATGATTTCATTGAGTTGATAAACTTTTAATACAGATAGTAACCAACAATATAGCTATTTGCTTACACTAAGTTACTGATATAGTAATGACGGTAATAAAATCAAACTAGAAAGTGATGTTCATATCACTGTAAATTATGAACACTTTGGAACTGCATAATTTGGTAGGGATAATTACAAATTACCAAACAAATATAAAGAGATTTAGTGAAAACAGTGTAAAATTATCTTTTAAAAACTATTACATATTATAGGAACTTAAATCAGGAAAAGAAAATGCCACTTTACAAAAGAATCCTAATGCAAGCATCCCATGTGGGCACTGGATAGAGTCCTGATGGTCTTCTTCCAATCCATCTCCCTGTTAATGTGCCTGCAAAAGCAGTTGAGTATGGTCCAAGTGCTTGGTCCCCTGTCGCTCAGGTTGGAGAATAGGAAGCTCCTGGTTCCTGGCTGTGGCATGGCCCAGCCCCAGTCATTGCAGTGTTGCAGCCATTTGAGAAGTGAACCAACTGAGGAAGGATATACCTCTCTCTCTTTCTTTCTCTCTCTTCTCTCTCTCTAGCTCTGCCTTTAAAAATAAATAAATAGGTCCTTTTCAAAAAGATAAAAATAAATAATAAAGTGATAAGCACATACAAAGGTATTTTTTGAAAAATAGTACATTAACTTGCATTTAAAATGTAAAATAAAGGAAATGATGGAAATGAAGCAAATATCTTGGTAATTACCAAGAAAGCCTGAGGAAAAGATACTTAAATCTATAGCTACACTCTAGAACTTCAAAATTAAAGTTAAATTTATGGTCCTCTAGAATTCCAGAAAAGCTCAATAGCATAACAACTGAGAATTAAGAATGACTGAATGGGTTAATATAGCCGCAAAGAGAATTTAGATGATTTCCATCAAGTTGATATCACCAAAAAAATGCCACCCAAGAAGGCCTAAATTTAATAGTAGTAGCACTGGCTTATAATAGGATATTGATGACATTAACAGGTCACACGATTGAATTAAAATGCATCATCAACTAAAACAATATATATTTTATAACATAAATTTTATTTTAATAATTGTTAATAGGAGGAAGTGGCAATATAGGATTAAGTAATAGAGTGATTAACAGACATAAAGGAATTTGGTGAACAATGCCCCGTGTATTATTTTACTATCATAATATTTTTAAAATCAAGAAGATAAATCAAGGAAAGTGAAAAAGAAAACTTAATTTAAATAAATTGATGAAGCCACAATGAAAAAGTTAACCACGATAGGCTATGGTTCTCTGTACAAGGATTGGTTTACACTACATCATTATGTATACACATACACATTTATTCAAGATAAAAAATAAAATACAGAATAAAATACAGAATAAAATACAGAATAAAAAATAAAAATACAATAAAATAAATCACAGAATAAAATACAATACAAAATAAAAAACAAAATAAATACACAAGTTAGAATTTAACCTATATTCTGATTGCTGTAAGTAGCAGTAGGGGCAACAGCAGCATGACAAATATATACAAAGAACTGTGTGAACCAATGTGCCTTAGTGTGCACTATACTTGATAAGTGAAAGAAAAGATCAACAATGGTAAGTAAAGAAAATATCGAGCCATTTAGCAGAAAAACCTTAATGAAAGCTACTCACATCTATAGCTACACTTAAAAATATGAATTATCAAAAGTTTATTTACTCATAAACCACCAGAAAAGTTAAAACTATATCACCTGGAACAAGAGAATGATATTATGGACCAAAAATCCTTTTGATGAACTGTATAGATAGAAGTGGCCAAGAAAATTCTCACAATTTTGAGTATGTTGAAGACCTTCCAATGTAAAAGTCAAGCAACACACTGATAGGTTTAGTCATAGGCTGGCCTTCCATTAGGTTATTGATCATATACACAGGTGATAAGAATAAATTCAAAGAGGGGGGCTGGTGCTGTGGCGCAGCAGGTTAAAGCCCCGGCCTGAAGCACTGGCATCCCAAATGGGCACGTTTCGGGTCCTGGCTGCTCCTCTTCTGATCCAGCTCTCCACTATGGCCTGGAAAAGCAGTAGAAGATGGCCCAAGTCTTTGGGCCCCTGTGCCCACATGGGAGACCCAGAAGAAGCTCCTGGCTCCTGGCTTTGGATCCGCGCAACTCGGGCTGCTGCAGCCATCTGGGGAGTGAACCAGTGGATGGAAGACCTCTCTTCTCTGTCTCTACCACTCTCTGTAACTCTGTCTTTCAAGTATATAAAAATAAATCTTTAAAAAAATTCAAAGGGAATGGCATTTTGTCATAGTGAATTGTACTGCCTCCTCTGACACCAGCAACCCATATGGTGCTGGTTCATGACCCAGCTGCTCCAGTTCCAATCCAGCTCCTTATTAATAGCCTGGGAAAGCAGTTGAAATATGTCACAAGTACTTGTGCCTTTGCAACCCATGATCAAGACCCTGCAAAAGCACCTGGCTCCTGGCTTTGGCCTGCCCTAGCGCCAACTATTGTGGCCATTGGAGGAGTGAACTAGCAGTTAGAAAAAAAATATTTTTAAAGATTATTTGTTTTGTAAGTCAGAGTCACACAGAGAAGGAAGGAGAGGAAGAGAGAGAGAGGTCCTTCATCTGCTGCTTCACTCCCCAGTTGGCCACAATGTCTGGAGCTGTGCTGATCCAAAGCCAGGAGCTAGGAGCTTCCTCCAGGTCTCCCATGCAGTTGAAGGGGCCCAAGGACTTGGGGCATCTCCCACTGCTTTCCCAGGACATAGCAGAGAGCTGGATCAGAAATGGTGCAGCTGGGACTCAAACCAGCGCCCATATGGGATGCCGGCACTGCATGAGGTGGCTTTATCCACTCTGCCACAGTGCCAGCCCCAGAAAATCTTAATCTTGTCCCTCTCTCTCCGTAACACTCAAATAAAAAAGAAAAAAGAATAAACTGAAAAAAAATTTTTTTAAATTGTACCAGTTACAATAAAAATTACACTTTCCTTACTGTGAATATAATTCAGCTACTTGATAATGAGAATAATAATGTGACAAGGACATATAGAGATTTTTGTGAATTTTTAGTCCATTACTTCTACATTAAAAAGAAAATAAGAGCAACTTAAGGAACAGAAATAGACCAAAGATCATTCAAATAACCAGAAAACTTTAAAGTAGATGTTTGTATCTAGAGCTACACCTTCAAAATTTATATATACATAAACATATACTAGTATATATTACCTATATACATATATATTATTTATCAGGAAAATGTAGTTTAGAGTTCCCTAATAGTCCAGTCCCTCATTATGAGATTGTGGAGTGAAGCACTAGACTGTGACTCACACTGTCTGTCCCTCTGGGTCTCCCTACCTGTTTTTAAAATTAAATTTAAAAAAATATAATTCTAGGATCAAAAATCATTTCAAGATCCTGCCATGTATTCACATAACTGCCAGGACATATACAGTATCTAAACCCACAGTGGAAAACTTGAATAATCAACAAAATTGAAGAAACAATGGCTCAGAGTTCTATAAAAATCCAGAAATGCATATATATATTCTTATATAAAACTTTACATATATCTATTTATATATGTATGCATATATTACCTTGAGGAGAGAGAATGATTAACCTTGGCTAGCATAGCACTAAGACACTATGTACATAGGTTTCCAGGACACCTATAGAATGCTGGGGGTGATGATGATCTCACAATGAAAATTTAAATCATCATGGCCACCCGTTCATAGAGCTGGGAATGGTCTAGAATAGATGATTAGTGAAAAAAGTGAGCTCCATTAATTCAAAGATGAAACAAAACATTAAATTTCCAAAATGAAACAATATCAAGTTCCCTAAAAGTCCTTAAAATCTAAAGCAAAACAAAACAAAAAGTCCCCTGCTAATGAGAGTGATGGACCTGACCCAAGATTATACTCAGATACTGTGAACTAAAATTTGCTTGGACAAGTTCCAGATTTTAGAAAATTTATTTCCAAACATTGATAAAGCAAATCAAGTCTTCCTGAAGTTTTTGGTGCTAGAATTGGCATAAATTAGGTTATTGACTTTTTTCTGATGGTTATAATAAATTCAAATGCAACATGAAAAATATAAAAAAATGTGTGCCTTTCCATATACATTGTATTCTGACTACTGGCTGTACCAATGGGAAATTTGGTAGATTCAGAAATAGCAGCACATGGAGGTATAATAGAGATTAAAATCGTAGTAAAACTACGGTTTAAAATATGAAAAAATACAAGGAAATCTCATGCAGTTTAATAATCTTAAAGCTTAGACAGCACTGTCAATCAAATGAATGGAAATTTTAAGGTGAATGATCAATTTTGAGACTCTAAAAAGAATGAAACTGTAAATCAAATATGTGTCCTCAGTAATGTGTGTGTACTGTCTAAAAGTTATTTAAAGACCACAACAATGGAGGTTGCTAGGACAATTTCAACAATTTTGAGTGAATTCATGACATTATAATGTAAATATCCAAAAGAATGACCATAAGTTTACAGTGCTAAGATTGGCTTCCACATGGATATTGATGATACACACAGTTGAAAGTAATAAAATGAAAGACAAGACAAAAAATAGAAATCTGGTGCACATAGCCGGGTAAAATATTGCTAGAGGGGCCAGTGCTGTGGTACAGTGGGTTAAAGCCCTGGCCTAGGGGTTGGCGCTGTGGCGTAGTGGGTAAAGCTGACGCCTGCAATGCCAGCATCCCATATGGGCGCCGATTCGAGTCCCAGCTGCTCCACTTCCGATCCAGCTCTCTGCTATGGCCTGAGAAAGCAGTAGAAGATGGCCCAAGTCCTTGGGCCCCTGCACCTGCGTGGGAGACTTGGAGGAAGCTCCTGGCTCCTGGCTTCAGATCAGCACAGCTCTGGCCATTGTGCCCATCTGGGGAGTGAACCAGTGGATGGAAGATCTCTCTCTGTGTCTCTACCTCTCACTGTAACTCTGTCTTTCAAATAAATAAAGTAAATCTTTAAAAAACATCATGCTTAAATTGCTGTTAGAAAGAATGAGTATTTTAATGTGAGCCATGAGTAAAAGACAAATATATAGATTGTTATTTGGTAGAAAAGAGTCCATAATAAACTTGAAAAATTACAGAATGACAGACAAATGGGCTTTGGAAACTTTCCAAGATCAAAGTTAATTAACAGTTCCAGGAACATCCAGAAAAATAAACAATATACCCCCTGCTGATGAGAATAAAGCTGCTGTCCCTAAAATGTGCTCAGATCCACTAAACCTGATAGCATTAGGACAACTTTTACCATTTAGAGCAGGTTGATGACCACTCAATGATAAAGCAAACCATGATATTCATAGTTTTTCTGTGTTATGATTGTAAAAATCCAAGTTATTAATTACATTTTTAGGTGATAGTAATAAATTCTAAGGCATTTAATTTTGATTACAGGGTGTAGAAATTAGTGATTTGGTAGAATCAATAATAGAGTCACAATCATGCAAAAAGGTTATAATGAATAAAATCTTAAAGTTGCATTTAAATCTAATATACAAAATTTCAGTAGCTTAAAGCAAGAAAAGATCATGCTGCCTAATATTTAATATCTTAGCTAACATACAAAACCTTGACTGAGGAAATTTTTATAGATAATGTTTAATTTTGAGTACCACAAAAAATAAGAAAATAGAAAGATATTACACTAACATGAATACCTGAAAGTATCCACTTTGGTGACATAATTTTGCAAAATAATGTACAGGGAAGGAGCAACACAACTTGGAGAAATGTAAACAACTTTATGATTTCAAAATGAAAATGCTGGCTAGGATGAGCAAATGTTTTCAGGACTATCATGGCATGCATTTTGCTATTGGGAGAAGTGAAGCAATGTTAGTGACAAAACAGTATACAGGAATTATGTGGAAAATAGACCTTCACATATAAAGTTACCCAAGATAATAATGTCAACACAAGTTAAGTCAAGAATATTTCAAGTACCTTGGCAGAATACATTTGAGAAATAACACGGATTTAAATAATTGACTTTCGAAAATTTCCAAAATCAAAGGTAAATGTAGAGTTCCAACAGAGTTCACAAAACAATAAAACATATGACCTGCAAAGGAGAGTGATGACACTGATGCTAGATGATTCCGTGCAATTTTCAGCACGAACATTATGAAAAAACTGTTAGAATTTACAAACAGTTGATTACATTAGAAAGATAACATAAACCAAGTGGGCCATAGGCAACTTGTGCTGAGACTGGCACAAGCTACACGGCCAATGGAAAAAAACCTAAGTGATAGGAATAAAAATCATAGTAATGTGTACAGTTCTTGATATATGCTATATTTTGATTGCTGGAAATGGAAATGATCAATTTGGTAGTAAAAGAAAAAAGTGAAATCACAAGTATATTTATGTTCATAAAAATAGCCCAAATTTACAATTTAAAAGAATACAGAATAATTGGAGGAACTTAAATCAGGAAACTTATAGTGTTTGATACAATACTCTTGACTCTAACATCCAAAATGTCTCAATTTACTGTGTGGAAAATTCCAAACCCCAGTGGTTACACTGAAATCTTATAAAAACCAAGAAATTGGGGCCGGCGCCGCAGCTCAACAGGCTAATCCTCCGCCTTGCGGCGCTGGCACACTGGGTTCTAGTCCCGGTCGGGGAGCCGGATTCTGTCCCGGTTGCCCCTCTTCCAGGGCCAGCTCTCTGCTGTGGCCTGGGTGTGCAGTGGAGAATGACGTCCTTGGGCCCTGCAGCCGCATGGGAGACCAGGAAAAGCACCTGGCTCCTGGCTTCGGATCAGCGCGATGCACCAGCCGCAGTGCTCCGGCCCCGGCGGCCATTGGAAGGTGAACCAACGGCAAAGGAAGACCTTTCTCTCTCTCTCTCTCTCTCACTGTCCACTCTACCTGTAAAAAAAAAAAAAAAACGAAAAGAAAAAGAAAAAAAGAAATTAGAAAAACGTGATATTGAAATCACAAAACTGTCCAGTGTCCCAGCACAGTTCTGAGAAACCATGGTTCTGTAGACCATGTACAGGAGGACGTTACTAGGGTATATTACTGAAGTTTGAGCAATTTCACGATATCATAATGAAAATGCTGGCCAGAATGACAGTATGCTTGTAGGGCTGGTATTAACTCACACTTTGATACTGAGGATATATATAACTGAGAGGAATAAAATGTAAGAAAATAAATGGGAAAATGGGATGCACTCAGCAATGAAAAATCCCTTGAATAAGAGAGTTATATTATAGGATCAGTATTTGAGTGAGAAAATACTAGTATAGAGATATGGTATAGAGAATTATAATTGGAGAATTTTAAAAATCTAGCAAAATATTTCAATTCTGTGAAAATCAGGAAAACATATACATTATATACAATATATGATATGTATATAATACTTAATATGATATATAATGTTATATATATATATATATATATATCATCTGGAAATGAGCATTATGATAGTAGGGCCTAGTAGCTTCTGAAAAGTTATGAATGGAAAAGTTGCAGGGACAACTTCCAGAATAAACAAGTAGTTGATGACTTCAAAATGAAAGCACAAGTCAGAATGGGCCCAAGTTCCCTGTGCTGGAGATGGCATAAGACAAGTTATTGATGCTATACACAGAATATAACTCAAACACAAACTAAAATATAAAGAATAATTCAAATACAATGTTATACATTATACTTTGATTGCTGAGAGAAGCATTGGGAAAAGTGCATGGAAAAGTCATAGAACTTCAAGATAAAGTCATAGAACTTCAAGATAAAAGGATTATTTTTGAAAACATCACTAAAATTTCATTTATGAAATACTAAAAAAGTAGAAACATAAATCGAAAACAATTCTTACTACCTAATAAAACAATTTAAATTAAATATACAAGTATTTCAATCTAGCTTATTGAGAACTTCAATACCAACTTTCAATTTGGTGTCTTGAAAAAAAAAAACATAAATATATGTTCTTAAAAGTACGAATAAATCTGTATCCAAAGTGAACCAGGATCCATCCAGAGATGATTAGTAAGAGGAATCAGGAGACTGGGTGAAAATAGAGAATGATCTTAATCCAAAAATATGTTCAAAACCCTCTCTCCCCTGTTAGGAGAAGTTTGGACTACTAACACAGACTCTGAGAAGGGGGGAGAATGTTAGGTGGGACTAAAAATTATGTCTGTCAGCCGACATTGGCAGTTTTAGTTCATGTTAAATTTTACTGTTCTATAAAATAATCAGCTTAGCCCAAAAATTTTACTCTGTGGTTTTGTAACTCTGGTCAGTCGTCCACACTTAATTAACATTTGTCTTTAATCAAATTGAATTGTATTAAAATAGAGAATTTCAGAATTTATATTGTTTCCCATTGTCTAATTGGAAAATTTGTTCAAATCAAAAATAATTTTTATGATTATAAAATAAACCAAAAATATGTTATTGGAAAACTTGAAAGATTAAGAAAGTAGGAGGAGGGAGGTGGGACTATGAGTGTTAGGGAGGGTAGAATGGGAAGTATCAGTATGCTGTTTGGTCTGTATATATGAAATACATAAAATATGTTCACCTTATGTAAATAAAATGTGTTAAAAAAAATAGCAGTAGTCACATATGATGGAGCAAGGACATAAGCATTGGTCTTAGCTCCTTGCTAAATGACTGAAAGCATATCCAGGGCCTGCGCCGTGGCTCAATAGGCTAATCCTCCGCCTTGCAGCGCCGGCACACTGGGTTCTAGTCCCGGTTGCCCCTCTGCCAGGCCAACTCTCTGCTGTGGCCAGGGAGTGCAGTGGAGGATGGCCCAGGTGCTTGGGCCCTGCACCCCATGGGAGACCAGGTTTAGCACCTGGCTCCTGCCTTCGGATCAGCACGATGCGCCGGCTGCAGCACGCCGGCTGCGGCGGCCATTGGAGGGTGAACCAATGGCAAAGGAAGACCTTTCTCTCTGTCTCTCTCTCTCTGTCCACTCTACCTGTCCAAAAAAAATAAATAAAAATAAATAAAAATGAAAGCATATCCAGACCCCTGAGGGACTTCCTAGCCCCTTGCATTCTTGCTCAAACCAGCTCAACCCCTCTTCAGTCACTTAGCCTGCAAAATCCCTGAACAAATCAGCTCAGACCCACCTAGTGCCTCAACTGTCTTGTGCTATATAAACTTAGCCTGTGAAAGCATTCAGGATCTCTGCCACGTCATCATCCTGTTTACATGTATACATGTTGGTACTGTGCCCCTCTCAAGCATATTCCTATGAATAAACTTGTTCTGACTATGAGTTCATATCTCACCTCCTCTTTGTCCAGTCCTTCTTTCTCAACAACAAAAATATGATTGGGAAATATGGGCAATATTCTTTGATGAAAATACAGGATAAAAACTATAAATATGATACTTTCCTGATTTGTACATTTATTCAGATTTTACAAGGTTTCATACTCTATATCTAAACAGCTACCTTCTAAACTTCATATAGCCCCAGGAAGAGCTACTCCGAGAGAACCCGGCGGTGTACCTGAGACTCCGTGTAGTTAGAAACTCAGGGCAATCAGGCACCCTGGGCAGAGAGAGGGGCAGGAGGACCCGCAGACCACAGCTCCTCCCCACAGTGCAGTCCACAGTCTCCCTGAGGACCGGCCCGCCCTAACTGCACAAACAGGGCAGACCTGGGGCTGCGGTCCCTGGGCGGAGTCCTCACGGGCGGAAGCCCGGGTCCTGGCCACCAGCGCAGTTCCCACCCGGTGGGCCCCACACTCACCATTTCCTCGCTTCCGCGGCATTCTGGGGTCCTTGGGCGGCTCCTGCGGTGCAGGAAGGTCACACAGCGCAGCCCCTGAGGCACCCGAGCCCGCTCAGCAGCAGCCCCGGGGACCCCTCCCAGCGCTGCCACAAAGAAAGATCCCGCGGGGCTCCGCAGGGTCGCCCTGACGTGCCTGATTGGACAGTGGCCGCAGCCGGCCGCGCGACGTCACAGAAGGTGCAGCCAATCAGAATCCCCTAGGCTGGGGCGGTTCCTTGGGGCGGTGCCTGGTAACAGGGGAGGTGGGGCTCAGACTGAAGCCGCCGTGTTCTCCGGCCCGGGTGCTCCGGCAGCAGGGGGCGCTGTCCCTGCTCTGGGCACCTCAGCTTCTGGGCGCCCTCAGCTGTCTGCGGTCCTGCTGGATCCTGTGAGCCCAAGCTTGCTTCCTGAGAGCTGCAGTTTACAAGGTGCTTGCTGAACGCGTGCCTTTCCCGCAGTCTTGGCTTGCTGTTGGTAGCTCACCTGAGGGTTTGTGAAGATGTTTGTCTGAATGTAGTTAAAGATATCCCATGGACTATTTCATCTTTCATTTCTCTTACAGGGATGTGTTTGTGAATCTCTGTTTTGTCCTTCAAATTTTCTTTCTTTATTTTAAGATTGATGTATTTATTTGGAAGAGTTACAGAGAAGAGAAGGTAGAGGCAGAGAGAGAGAGAGCGCGATCTTCCATTTTCTGATGTCACTCCCTAAGTGGCCACAGTATCAGGGTCTCGGCCAGGCCACAGGTGGGAGCCAGGTGCTTCAACCATCTGGGTGCAGGGGCCCAAGTACTCAGGCCATATTCCGCTGCTTTCCCAGGTGCATTAGCAGGGACCTGGATCAGGAGTGAAGCAGCTAGAAGTCGAACTGGACTTATAGAAGATTGCGGTGCTGCACGCAATGGCTTTACCCACTATGCCACGGTACCGACCCCAGTCTTTAAATTTTCTCTATCTGTTCCTTGCTGGTTACATAGTAAACCACTGATGGCGTAAGTTAACCTTCTGTCCAGTAATATTGCTTAATTTTCGTATCATTTTGTATCAGTTATGTAATTATATTGGATTATCTGTACATAATACTACTATCTACATGTATTGAGTTTTGTTGCTTACAAGTTGATTCTTACACCTAGAATTTCCTTTTTATTAATTTCCATGACTACACCTCAACCACAATGTTGACGAGAAATAGAACAGGCAGCTTGCCTAGATCTGTTCCCAGGGAAAAAGCTTTCAATCCTCTGTATTAATTATGCTGTTTTTAATGGGTTCACTGTAGTAAATAATCTTAGTTGGAATGATGAAATTGCTATTATTTACTACTCTAAAAGCTGCTTGTTTTGTCTGCTAAATTTTATTAAATCCTTTTTTAACATTTAATCTAAATGTGTAATTTTTTCTTATATTGTTTACCCACACTGATGACTGACATTCATTTTGGATTGTTAACCATCTCTGCAACTTTTAGTATCTCCTGCTTGTTATTAAAATATCATCATCTTTTTATATATTGTTTAACATAATATTTTGACTAGCCTATTTACATCTTTTTCACTAAAGAGATGTTCCTTAAATTCAATTTTATTTCATGTCCTTTTCTGTGCCCTCAATGCAGTGTTAAATTCACAAAAAAATTCAAAATATTTTCACTTGGTGGAAATCTGAGGAATTTGGAAGTTTTTTCCTTCTTGAAAAATTTTCAGATGTTTTCCAGTTCTGTGCCTGAAATTCTGTTTATGGAAATTCTTGTTGGTTTGATTTTTTTAAATGTTGATTCAACTTATTCAGTTTATGTAGGAATTTCCTATTTTGTGTTACATATGTGTTTTGGTAATATGGCTCTAAAAATTCATGAACTTTGGTCTGTTTCAAAAATCTTATATCTAATATTTCAGAAAACCTTCTTGGTATCTTGTTGAGGACTAGAAATCCTATGAAAAACAATTCAATTTGTATTTCCAAATTGGTTATTTGTGTTACTTTTATTTTCCTTGATCACATTTCCTAGTTTTATTTTTTCTTATTTTTATTTTTTTTGACAGGCAGAGTGGACAGTGAGAGAGACAGAGAGAAAGGTCTTCCTTTGCTGCTGGTTCACCCTCCAATGGCTGCAGCAGCTGGCGCGCTGCGGCCGGTGCACCGCGCCGATCTGATTGCAGGAGCCAGGTACTTCTCCTGGTCTCCCATGGGGTGCAGGGCGCAAGTACTTGGGCCATCCTCCACTGCACTCCCTGGCCACAGCAGAGGGCTGGCCTGGAAGAGGGACAACCGGGACAGAATCCAGCGCCCCAACCAGGACTAGAACCCGGTGTGCCGGCGCCGCAAGGCAGAGGATTAACCTAGTGAGCCATGGTGCTGGCTTAAAAGTATTTTATTACCTTACTTAAAAGGCAGAGCACCAGAGAAAGAGGAAGAGAGAGAAAGCTATCTTTCATTCGCTGGTTCACTCCCCAATGCCTACAACAGCCAATGCTAGACCAGACTGAAGAAAGGAGACAGGAACTCCAAACAAGTCTCCCACGTGGGTGGAACAAACTCAAGTACTTGGATATTACCTGCTACCTCCCAGGTACTTTACAGGAAGCTGGATTGGAAACCACAGAGTAGCCTGGACTCAAACCACTCTGATACAGGAAGCTCATATCTCAACCTGTGAACCACACTACCCATTCCATAATCTAATTTTAATCTCCAGGTGATTAGTTAATCTGACTGCTGGCTCTGGGTGGCAGGGTTTTGAGAACAGCAAATTTCTGTGGATTTATAATTCAAGGTAATAGCCAAGGGGAAAATTGACATATGGCTCTGCAGCTAATTTTTCTGCAGTTAGTCTGAGGGGAATAAATAGAAATAAACAAGTAAGAAAATATCAAGTAGGAAAAATCAAGTCGGCTTGGAGGTTGGTATTGTTGAGTGGGTAAAGCCGCAGCCTGCAGTGCTAGCATTCCATAAGGGCACTGCTTCTGTCCCAGCTGCTCTACTTCTGATCCCTGCTAATGGCATGGGAAAGCAGAAGATGGCCTGAGTGCTTGGGCCCCTGCCATCCATGTAGTAGACTTAGATGAAGCCCCTGGCTCCTGGATTCATCCTGGACCACCCCTGGCCATTGTGACAATCTAACAAACCAGCAAATCAAACATCTTTCTCCCTGTCTCTCCTTCTGTCTCTGTAACTGAGTTTCAAGTAAATAAATAAACCTTAAAAAATAAAAGATGCTGCTTGGATGTTCCTGTATTCCACATCAGAGGGCCTGGATTTTAGAACTGTCTCTGCTTCATATTTCAGCTTCCTGCTAATGTACACCTTGGGAGGCAGCGGGTGATGGATCAGATTTTTGGTTTCCTGCCACTCACATGAGAAACCCAGATTGATTTCTGGGTGCTTAGCTTTCATCTGACCCAGCTCTGTTTGTTGCAGGCATTTATGAAGTGGATAGATCTATCTGTTGTCTCTTTCTCTCTCTCTTTGCTTCTCTGCCTTTCAAATAAATTAAAAGAAATAACCAATCAAATACTCATATAATAAAGTATAAGAAAAGTGGGCTGAAGGGTTCCAATAAAGAAAGAAGGAGGAGAACAGAAGTGCTACACTGGTGGGTAGGAATTTAAGGAAGGAATCTTGTGGAATTGACTTTAATCTGAGACTCAAGCATAGTGTGTTTGGGGTGGGCAAATATGTTGATATCCAGGTGGAAGTGAATGTAAACTTAGTGCTCAGTGTAGGGTAAGAACCATTACTTCTATTTGTATGGTCCTGAGGTCATGTCTTAGATGGCTGCTTGTATGTCTAGTGGAGCCATTAGCTAAAGTTGGAGACGTACCAGGGTACTTCAAATAGTTTGTGTAAATGGAATTAAAAATTATTTTGATGCAATAAAATTTGAAATCTATGCATTCTGCATTCAAAGAGTCTTCCAAAAGTTAATGAAAATTACATTCCAAGAAAAAAACCATGCATGCATTCCAAACGATTTTCTCAAAAAGTTCATGACAAGTGTGTATTATTTAAAAAAAAAAAACTACAGATTTCAAAATTTTACAGAAACCTAAGCTACTTACCTTTTTTTTTAAGATTTATTTATTTATTTGAAACAGTAACACAGAGAGAGGAGAGGCAGAGAGAGAGAGAGAGAGAGAGAGAGAGAGAGAGAGAGACAGGTCTTCCATCCAATGGTTCACTCCCCAGTTGGCTGCAACGGCTGGAGTTGTGCCGATCTGAAGCCAGGAGCCAGGAGCTTCTTCCAGGTCTCCCACGCGGGTGCAGGGTCTCAAGGACTTGGGCCATCCTCTACTGCTTTCCCAGGCCATAGCAGAGAGCTGGATTGGAAGAGGAGCAGCCAGGACTCGAACTGGCGCCCATATGGGATACCGGCACTTCAGGCCAGGGCATTAACCCGGTGCGCCACAGCGCCGGCCCCAGCTACTTACCTTTTAATTCAATTTCACAATGAGATTTTTGAAGTTCACTCAGACCTTATTTTAGGCCTCTGACACACAATTAGAAACTAGAACTTGTGATGTGTCTCACTTGAGTTATTAGACACGGCGATCATAGAGTTAATGATGGATGGAACCTAAGCAACAGAATACGTGCATCAGAGCTCCAAGATAATGTAGAGTGAAAGCACAAGGGCTAGGGTTGGTCGTTAGCTTTTCCAGTATTGTTGGATGAGCAAGACCCCGCTACAAACACCTGATTAAAAAGAAAACATTAATTTGAAGCCAAACACAAACCTTGAGACATCAGAAAAGATGTAAACGTAACAATCCCAAAAGGTGGTCCTGGGTAAATTTTTCATTTTTCCCAAGTAAGATTAAGAGAGAAACACTGTGTAGCTCTATGGGGACATTACTGATTTACTGTTATTTATTTTTAATATAGAGGACAGCTATTTTAATGGGGAAATAACTGCTTATCCCTGTAAATTAGACGTGGGGCGGATGTGAGGAAACAGTCACTTGTTTTATCGGGAAAGGAGAGAGAGAAATTGCACTGCGGTTTTAGAAATTAAGCGCAGAGAGTTCCCTCCGAGAGCAAGGTAATAAAGGGACGGGCGGGTGACATCTCCAGCGCCGGCTCCTGCTGCCTGGCAGCCCCAGCTGCACCACCGCTCCCAGCAGCCGGCCCCTCCCCGCGCTCCCCTCCCCGCCCTCCGCCGCCCCTCCCTCCTCCGCTCTCCCCTCCCCGCCCTCCGCCGCCCCTCCCTCCCTGTCCTGCGCCCCCCCCCCCCCCCCCCGCCCTCGCCCCCCTCCCGTGCAGCCTCCCCGCCTGCGGGCGCGCCCTGCTCTCCTGATCCCGGCTCTCCGGCGCGGGAGGCGCGGTCTCGGGCTAGGGTGCCCCCGGATGATGACGCCCTGAAAAATAAGACCCACAAGGCAGCTCCTGGGGTCCGACTCCCCCCAAGACAGCAAGTTAAAGAAAAGAATAAGGATGGCGAGGACAGTTATTGGAAAAAGCACGAAA